TGCATTAGTTTATTCAAGAGACATATGGGACACAGAGACTAGAGTATAGCAGAGTACAGGAGTTTTTCCATTATCCCCTACACATTTCCCATTGCATTACAAGTGAAATTGGAGAAATAAAGCCATAAATGAGCAGCAGTTATCGCGATATGTTGTTTGATTTACGTTAATAACGAAGTTTTGTACCAGCAGCCGTCAGTTAGCTTGTGAGCTAATCACTCCAGTAACGGTGTAAAGTTAGTTAACGTTGCTGCCTCCACGTTTCCAGTGAGAAACACATTAACGAGCTGCTTCTGGGTTTACTTTATCAGATAAGTTACTCCACTACTCTCGCCCTCCTCGTATCGATAAGATATGGTTTGAACATGTGAAGCCCACTGTTACCTGCCCACTCTGTCTTTGGCTCGACCGTCCTCGGCCGGGGAGCGGGTCCGGTTGCTCGCCCGGTTCCTCTTCTCCATTGCCCCGGTGGTATCCTTACAAATCCGTGCTACAGCCTCACTGCTGTGTATGCATCCACTGCTGTGTTTCTCCCCCTCCCCAAAAAAAAAAAAAAAAAGTTTACAGAGTCTGAGTGTCGAAGTCCTCGGTGAGGTAAGTTAGCGATACGGTTCACTATTAACTTTCTCCATGTTTGCGTGCGGAGAGCCGGGACAAGACGCGGCTTTTTCCTGGGATTATCATGCTATTCTCGGGTAGGGAAAGCAGAGGAACCCGTTCTTACGCTTCCCCCCCGAGCCAAGAAGTCGCTTTAGTTGCGATTGCTCAAGTATTTTATCGATCCGCCGACGTGCAAAGCCGTGTGGGGAGTTTCCTTTTGACTTTTATCGCCATCCACATGCACCTGCTGCTGCTGCCCCCCCTCCTCTCTATCTCTCTCTCCAACTGGCCTGTGGCTCTAATAATAATAATTAAAAAAAAAAACATATAACGACGAGATGAATGCTTCCCAAAATTATGGTCCAAAACACAAGTCCCTGTCCACAGCTCCTGTCCGGACTCCGGGGGAAGATTTCGGACTTGTGACGTTGTCCCAGGACACACACGTCTTCAATCAGACCCTAATGCTGCTTTCGAGTGATTCCCGTAACATCCTACTTCAGAGCTCTCCTGGGATGGCTAAGTGTGACTTATGCCGCATTCACGGGGCTTTGGTTAGAAGTTGGAGCTGCAGTGGTGGAAGAGTTATTCAGTTCAGGTTAAACCTTGCTCCTTTAACATATATGCCTAATAGTAACTAGTAACCACTGTTTTTTTTTTTTATGAAGGGTTAAAATTCTTAATATTACTTTTCCACTATGACACATATGTAATACTTTGATTTGTGTATTTCATGTATACACAACCCTTGTTTTTGCGTTGTTGTCCCTGCAACATTGAGGAAAAATAGGTTTTTCAGAACATGGTGTAAAAACCTCCATTGGCCCAAAATGTATTTGTCATATAACATATCACATTAATGTCAACTGTTGACACGGACCCAGCCTACTACAACATGACTGTCAACATCGGCAACTCCCTGATCATAAAATCCCTAGGATGCATTTAATATGTCCGATAACAACTAAAGGCAGCAGCAAATGGTAAGTAGCCGCGCCCTCTCCAACACCGCCACGTAGCACAGGTAAATACAGCCATCCTCTGCTGGGCAGCAGTGCTCCACTGAATAAGTACCTGGATTCAAACATATCTGCTGCATGGGGGATTCCAGGCTTCCTGCAGTCTTTGAAAACCATTTGATGTTTGCAGATATGATGGATAAAAAGAAAATAAGAGGTAGGTTTATTAAAATAAATGGAGAAACTCAAAAATATTTCACTCAAATTCGACAGCTTACCTCATCTCTTTCTGTCCCAGCAGAAGCACACGTTCACATCCTTAGGGAAGCATTCAAGGACATTTTTTTAATGAGCGTATATTAATATTTTAAAAGAAACAACTATAATGACTTTAAAGTCCTGCACAAGTAAGAGTGGAAAACCTTGCTCTTACTGGAAAAGGTGGTGGGTATCAAAATGACGCAAACCTTACATGAAGTCACCAGATGTCAATTTGATTATGTGCTAATGAGAGAATCTGGAGCAGAGCCTCAGACACTGTCCCAACGCTGTCACCCACTTCCAGGAAGGACTGTTGCAAAATGACACACAGCTTTTTGGTGGCTATCCTTGTTATAGTTTCTTATTTTCCAGAGTTGGAAAAAGGTAAAAACCATGTGGGGATAGAAATGTGGTTAGTATAACTTTAATGGACACTTTTTAAATCGTAAAAAGTACTGTTTGATGTGGCACGATTTAGAGTCACTGGACAGACAGACTTGTGGGTGTGTGTGTAGATGACTGTGTTGAATGTTGTTTAACCAATATTAACAGAATGCAAGTCTACAGAAATTCACCACATTTGTAGAAAGTCATGCTTAGCCTGACCTAAATCAAATTACTTCAAATTTGATTTAAGCATTTCTGTCCTACATACACACACTCAATAACAACACCACTGCCTATCAGGATAAGCCATGGATGGACAGATGATCATGTAGGCCTCTGTCTCTGATCCTCTTGGGAAAAATACCAGAGTAAGTGCAAACGCACACTCATGTTCGAGCAGTAGTGTAATCCTGCTGGTGGGCGTTGTTGGATCTGTGAGCTTTCCAGCCACTGACATGTTTGGCAGTGCTGTGTGCAGCCATTTATCTGGTAATAATCAGTTTATTTTTTAGAAAAACACTAAAAATGTACTAGGCACTGTTCTACAGATAGGCAATGTAATCTTAATGTTTAACTCTAATTAGTCTTTCTAGTGTTCATGTGTTCATCAATGTGGTAGATCATGAAAACAATATTTTACCTTCCTCGTCAGAAATCATATTAAAAACTGTATTCATTCATTTGAGCTTAATGAATGAATAAATAAGGCAGCATTAATAGTATGCTCTCATTTTTAAGAAGTTTATTTAAAAACATGAGCAAGCTACATTAAATACTGTGCTGTATCTTGATAGACAGTCAGACTTGAGCAGCATGCACCTTACAACGAAATCATCTGGCTTTGGTACACCTCGGGATCCCCCACCAGGAGCTGGAAAAAATCTGCTGGGAAGAAGGATGTCTGGACTTCCTTGTTTAGCCTGTGGTCACTGCAACACGTCCCCGTATGAGTGGCAGAATATGTATGGGTGGATTGACAAAGATTTGTATTGATTTAAATTATAATACCCTTTAAAATCTAAGGTCAAACTAGCCCTTCTAATACTAAGTCTTCATATCAGATTATGCAGCATTAATGCTTGTGCATTGTGAATGCTTATGCTCCACCCATGGCAACCTACTGTGGTAACCGTAAGCAACCATTACGTGTTGCACATAGAAAATAAACAGTTATCAAGTTGCCAATGCTGTTTGCAACAATTCAACCTTGATAAGGTCTGGACGACCAGTGTAACTGTTGGAGGTCATTTGGAGGTTATCAGTGCAATAACAAAATATTCAAGTGGACTATCAGTGGGGGTTTTATTTCTTATCCTTATACGTGTACTTAATAAAAACACTAGCATTGCTTGTTGTTGCTTTTGTTAGTGTAAGTTTGTAATTACTGTGTGTTGCTGATGTATAAAGGAACTGAAATCTTTAATTTTAAATTCCTTGTACAGTTTCAGTGGAAAGGAGTAAATGCTGATTCTAGATGTAAGATCACTGTAATAGCTCCAACCTAGAAAGTAAAAGTATCAGTAAATCGTATGATTTTGGGTTTATACGTTTCTTTGACTGAAGGATCCCCATAGTTGATTGTTGTGTACTTTGGTCTCTGTTTTGGATTGTCCCTCTCAGTTTGAATCTCATGTGATGTTACAGCAGAGGTCTCGCTGTCTTCTAATGCAACGTTATTGGCAGTGTCTTCAGAAAGTCTGAAATTTTGCGGCGCACTAGAATCTGTTGTGTCCACTAGTGTTACTTCCTCTTTTGCCTCTACATCTTTATCTTGTGGTTTGTTTTTTGTTATTATATGGTGGGTTTGTATCTTTATGTTATTAAGAGGACATAGGTTGATGTCCTGAAATGTTCCCATTGTCACCAATCCAGTCTTAAAAGCAGTCATAGAAGTATCAGAGTATGGTGAGGGCCTTGCAACTGAAGGAGTTTCTGGGTGCGGTGCTGATTGAAGGGAGGAATCAAGCTGGTCATCAACATCTTGTTCATAATCCAATCTGTAAACACGTGGGATTACATACTTGGGCAACTTTGTTTGAATGGTCACAGCTTTGGTTGGATTCGGATCATCCACTGCTCCGTTCTCCATGGGGTTGCGGTCTGTATATGTAGACAGCCACTCGGGTTTGGGCTTTAGAGAGCATCTCACTTCACTGTGTTCACCTGTGAGTGAATCCCTGTGAGCGTGTTGTAGGGCTCTGTGAGGAACTTCTGTCTTCAAGTTAGGTATCTTTTCCGAATGGGAACTTTCTGGTAGTTCCACTGAATATTGTTTAGGAGAGGAATCTACACATGTGGACCACACAGGAGAGCAGGTCATGATGGTTGCCACATGCCAGTTCACTTGGGCTTCTACTTGTGGAAAAAGCCTGCAAGGTTCTGGGAGCAAGCTCTCGGTGACAGATGTTAAACAGAGTAGCTCTAGATGTCCATATTTTAACTTGTTCGTGATACTGGTTTCTTCTGCTGTAGTCTGAATTTCACCTGACGTCCAGGCCTGAACATCGTTATCATAAGCTCGACCTTTTGTATGCTTCAATGAACAATGGCCTTCAGCTGTTTGATCTGAATGCCGGCCCCCCATTTGCCTCTCTTCCTCTGCTTTCAAACAGATTTTTTCTTCCAAGTTTGAGTTTATTTCTGTTAAAACGTCCACCGCCTGCTCTGGTCTTTGTTCTTGCCCAGCGGTAGTTTGATTTCCTTTCAACTGTTGTGCAACAGATTTACTTTTCATGTGCTTGTGTTGGTTTTGTCTGTGAACAGCTTGAGCCTCCACCTGTTGATGGCATCTGTCAAGACAAGCTACCCTCTGTTTTATATTACTTGTCATCTTGACTCCTCCAGAGGGCATTTCATGTGAACCTTTCAAGTCCCTCCCCTTACATACAGTGGCCATGGTCTCAAACCTCTCCATCAAAGAAGATAGGAGGAGCCCTCTTCCGATGAGTCTTGGTTTGACTGGCTGTTTGTTCAGCATGTTCTGTCCCTTTTCCTTTTGCTCAGCCATGGCAAATTTGTTGACAATATCTTTCACACTTCCCCCCCTCTTGGGTCCTGTTTCTCGTCTGGTCTTGACCTTTTTGTGCATGTCTTGGTCACTGTCTTGACAGTGGTTCACATCACCTGCCAGTCCTCTGGAGGACAGAGTTCCTACCTCCCTTTGGTGGGTGATGGGAGGTTTGGGGTTAGATCTTATGAATTTGGATTGGAGGAGCTGGAATGTGGTAAGGCGCCGGTGTATTAAGCCTTCATTCCTTTGATCCCCTCCATGCCTTCTGGGCAATCTGTCATTTTGTGGATCTGACCAGCATTTTTTAGGGATCTTGGGTCTGGTCTCAGTAGTTATTACCTGGGTCATTTTCTGTTCTTTAGGGAGCTGAGCAGTCTGAATGTGAGTCTCCTTTACAAAGTCTACAAAATCTGACCCTGGCTTCTCTGGGTTTTTGTTTCTGGTGGTCCACTTGGGCAGATCTTGTGTTAGGTAACGCAGGAGACTCTCCAGTATCCCTCGGAGCACAGGGCGGCAGTTGCGGTCTCTAACCAACTTCCTCAACATACCGGCATCAGGGCTGATACTGGTTTTCCGAGAATCTGGTCTATGGAGAATAGAGGACATGCAAAACTTAATCGTGTAACCATCTGCAGCTAAGCATACCTAAATAGTAACGGATATTGACAGCAAAGTTGAAGCATGACTGGCAAATTATTAAATTTACTATTGCGTGAAAATAGTGGCACTGCTGGATGCATAATTGTGAGTTATATGTCAGAAAGGATGGTCACTAATTACAAAGGCTGTCATTACTGTAACTTTTTTCCCACGGGTAGTCGATGTTATGTGTTCTGCACTTTAAACTGCATTTACCACCTAGACTATTAGCAGAACTAAATAATTGTACAAAATGTGTGGCTTTAGGCAAATAAGTTGTACCCAAACCCTGGAGTAACCTTTTTCATGTTCATGCACTATTTTGACTTTGTAGGTAGATAGATAGCAAATATTGCACTGCACAATGTATTCTAGACAGGGCTTACTGTAAATAATGGCACTCCATCATCATCGTTTCAAAATATGGTGCTAAATTTGTGTTTTTCATGCAGTTGTAGTGATGAAAAATGTTAATACTCTTTTTTTTTTTTAACTGATAGATAGCACCACCATTAAAAATACTTGCGAGATAACTCTTGCTTCAGTACACCCATTACAGCATAAATGCTTGAACATTACAATAAGGTTATCTTTAAATCTCTTTTAACCCACGTCAGCCAATCTCTCAGAAATGAGCATCACATAGATTAGTTTTTGGAGGGTAGTGAATTTGGGCTTTCACTGTGACCATATGAAACTAGTCAGAGTAATCTCCAAAAAGGCCTACTTTCTCTTATTAATCTTCTACTCGAGTGATATTTGCGTCAATAAACAGTGCTTCTACTTGAACTGGATATACCAGTAGCCATCCCACCACTGCAGCAAAGTAGAGGAGGTAAAATGTTCAGACCTGAAATGGAGTGTACTCGCAGTGTGAACTTGTTACAGGTGATTAGTTCAGGGGATTGTAGAGGAGGGTTGTGTAGCAACAAGAAGAAATCTGGGAGAAAATTAAGATAGGAGATAAGCTGTCCATCAAAATAAATGTTGTAGTTAAGATAAAGAGAGACAGGCACTTCATGCGTGATATCCGAGTCCATTTTAATGTTCATATCATATTAATAGTCACCATGTAATGGAGCTTTCACAGTACACTATACCTGATAAGAGCATCACAGTGTAAATAATAAATGATCACAGTATATTACTATGCTACAACTCAGTAATGTTATGCATAAAAGTTAAAATCATCTCACAATTTTCACCACGTTACATGCATTAAAAAGCCAAGGTAGATCAAGTTTGCTGTGGACAGAGACGTATCAGTAGACTTTATCAAAAGTTCGTACAATGTTTTATGCTGATTTTGATCAATTCAATTTCTCTATCACACAACATAACCATGTGCTTTATGTTAATCCAGGTTAGCTTTAGAAAAGGAAAAGGTCAGAAAGGAAATTATCTTTTGATTGTTAATTTTGAGAAAAGGTAACTATACTACAGCCTTAGAGTTTCCTTTTCCCCACAGCTCTGTCATTTGATATTAGGCAGAGTAATAGAGACAAGTTACTCCTCCCTGCCATCAACAGAACATGCAATTTATGCAAACTGATTGCAGATGTAGTTCCAGGAAAGCAGTCAAAGGCCGAAACTCAATGACCTAAATTGTCTCCCTTTCGATGTCCCTCTGCCTCACACCTACAGTGACAGGTGCTTTACATTTTCCAATTCATGACAGATCTGTGGATATCTAAATCAAGGAGGGAAGGGCAAGAGAGGCGAGTAGAGGATAGGATGCCCCTCAAGACTATTGAAATGCTACCAAGGAGGACTAGAAGCTAGTGTGGGATAAGGGAAGCATTTTTTCAGTCATGTGCAGTTCCTCTGGCAGCCAGAAGGGTTCAGGCCTGTGAAGAGCAGGATTACTTGTCTATGCACTTCTCTGAAGACGCTGCTTTGTGTAGCGCTTCTCCCAACTCCTCCAGGCGCTCTCTTTTGTCCAGATCCTGGTACAGTCCTGCGGGAACCTGGCTCAGGCCATGCATGAGGCCATAAAGACAACCTGCGATCAGGCCTGTGGCTTCACTCTCACCTAAATAAAACCAGCATTTTCACAGAAGTCACAGTGAGCAGGCTGTATGTATGTTTATCTGTCTGTGTTTAATGTGTCTTGCAGGTGCAGAATGCTGTGATCCTCACCTCCGTGAAACATGGCTCGTTTACACAGTTCAGCCCAGTCGCCCCCTGCTGCCAGAAGGGCATCGTAGGCTATCATGGGGGCATCATGACCCCTCCGACCTGCACGGCCTTCTGAACTCCAGCGCTTATACAGCTGTGGAGAAAGTAACAGCAGCACACTGTTCCTGTCAGGAGTTCTGTTGATGTAAAAACCTTTTATTTATGTGTGTATTTCTTTTTTGTGTGACAGAGAGCCAGCATTTACCTTGTCTGTCTCGTCAGCATCATAGCGATCAGGGAACGATGGTTTGTTCTGTCCTTCCTTCTCTATCTCCCTCTCTTCCAAGTAAAACTGCCACTTGGCCTCAAAGTAGAACCAGTTTTCCTGATACTCTGCACAGGAATGCATAATCACACACATTACTGGTATCAGCTGATAGTCATGCTCTCTACGACACATGGGCATACCAAACTCAGGAAATTACCATATATATACTGTAAAACATATACTGAAATTACTCTTTTTGTTTGTTTTTTTTACACAGAAGTTTCAGTTAACCTGGATCAATGAACTAAAGTCTGCACACCCTCACAAACACAGTCTAACCTGCCATGTGTCGTATGGTCTTCCTGCAGTACTCCTCAGCCTTAGGGATGACCTTCATGAGCTCGCGGCCCCATGTCACAAGAGGTTTCCCCTGGATCGCATAGGATGCAAACAGCGCTGTTGTCAGGGAGCCTAGGAAGCCTGAAGCCAAGAGTTACACCATAAGTCAGTTTATCTGCAACAGAATAAGCATCCTGTAGTTTCTGTAGTATTTTTTTTGGTTATGTTAGAAACTGCCAACATTGTCACCTGTGGGGTGGTTGTGGGTCATTCTGCCAATCTCAATGCTGACCTCCACCAGGTTGTCTAGTCTCTCAGGTGGCCAGTATCTCATACCCACACACATGGCCTTGGCGGCTGCCCCGAACCCAGATCCTGGACATAGACACACCCAGGCACACATTTTCATATACTGATCTTATGATGGACTCTTAAAATGAAAAAAGAACAGTATCTAAAATCTCCACCGGCCTTTTTCATTGAAGGGTGTATGCCAGGCGAGCAGGAAGTTGTGAGGTTTGAGGTGAACACAGCCCTCCACTGTGGCAGGATCGGGGGCTCTGCCCTGGAGAGACACCATGGCTTCAACATAGAGACGCACCAGCTCCCGGTACAAGTCCTCCAGACACCAGTAATCTGGGCATACACATAGTGACTGAGAGTCATTCATGATTGGCATGCAAGGCAAGATGAGTGGTGCTGCAGTGGGCTAAGTTTAGCCTCAGCCTGCTACACCACAGATTAGGAGCAGCATGCCTGTGGAGAGAAGGGAGTCACTTCCACACACCACGAGGTCAACTGGGATCCTCGAGTGGAGCCCACAGTCATCCTGCTAGAATTTGTTTATGTGTGTACGGAGAGAGAGAGAGCCGATGTTGACAAAGAAGCATCACCTCTAATTTAGTGATGCAGGACTTTGATGAAAGACAGGGAACTTTACCCTCTTCACTGGGCTTAGATTCAGATTCTGTTACCGAGATGTGTTCTTTATCCTCTGCTTCAGATAAGAATGTAAAATACACTGAATAAGCCTCTTTAATGACTAATAAGTGGGCTACTAGAAATGCCTTTTAACAATGGAGCCAAATTAAGCATGTGTATATGCGTGCAGGGCAGGCATTGTGGCTAAATAGAGCTTTGTAATCTCAAAAGAGGTCATCACCATTTCACAGGACCGCTGTCATTGGCTTTGAACTGCATCTGCAGCCAAACATGATACCAGCAGATTACGGAGGAGTCTGCTATTGTTCAGCAAAGGAAAGCTGAGGATCAGTTTTTACAAAGTGGTCTATTTTGGACTTTTCTGTCCCGGCAACTCCTGGCCACCCTGTGGGGGCTTGAAATGACATTTGAGTGACGGCATTTGTAATGAGCTTTCTACCGAGATTTTGTCTTTGATGGCCGGCTGTAAGGATGGATTATGGCATGTCAGCAGGTTTTGTCATTCAGAAATGGTCTGCCAGTAAGTGATTAGCAGCTTTCATTGACTGTATAGAACAAGCTATTCTGGTCCCTCTAAATGTAGAAAGATCGAGAGCTCGGCTGGACAGGTCTGATGTTTTGTCTATATATTAATGAACAGATAAAGAGAAAAAAGCTTTTGGTTTTATGTGAAGATATGATGATAGATGTCTGAAGTATTGATTTGATATTTGACATTTTAAAATAGGAGAAAGATACAAAACAAATAATCATAAACCCTCTGTCATTCTTCTACATCAACCTTGAACATACCTGTTACAAGTGCTTCTGCTGTGGTCATGTGCATCAGCGTTGCATCACTCAGGGGCCAGTTATCTGGGTCCAGTTTCTGGGCCCCGAGTCCCCCCAGAGAGGCCAGTTCCTCTTGGATCTTCTTGCCTGAGGTGCATCCTTCCCATCGACCCTTTCTGTAGCCTAAGGCATCACCAACAGCACCTAGAACCATGGCTGCCTTAAATTTTTCCATGATACTGGCTCACGTCCGCTCACCCAGCTAATCACGGAAAAAAAGATGTTCTCTTGACTGAGGCCGGCACACTTCTCCTGGGATTGAAACGGCTCCTGGCACAAACAATTTCAGCTGTAGGTCTTCTTCACCACCTCAACAGATTCATTATAATAGAACAATGGAAACAGACTCAAACTCTTTAGCCCCAAAACATCCTGAAGAACTCTCACAATTCTGGTAAGACCTCTGTCCCCGCTACATAACAGCTCTACCACCTCCCCACCCTCAGAGCTCTCTTCTAGTTTCTCATCAGTTGTCTCAATACCAAGCGTTGTCACACACACCCGAAAGCATCACGTTATCAGCCACAGTTTCTTTGTGTTGGGCGGCGGCGAGTTCAGCTGTGATCAGGTGTCTCCTAAAAAGGCAATCCCAGTGGCCCCCAAGCCTAAGAGCTGGATGGCTGGGTGTGGAGTGGGAATGGGGGCTGGACACACTGGAAGAGATGCTAATGTGCTGCTGGGCCGGAGTGCATGCTTGTCAGCTGGTGCTGGACCTTGTTGACATCCCAGCCGTCCCATGGGAGAAGGGTAAGAATGGAGCATCACCCCAACTGATGCCCGTCTCACCATTAGCCGGCCTCCTCCTTTATTTCAGTCCAACTCTCTAATCCTCATGTCATTATTTTAAACTGATTTATTAATCATCCTGAGTTTCTATAGTCCTTATCTTCACGTAATACCTTGACAACTAATACCTTTCAGTTAAGCTAATTACTTAAATCTGTTATTCCCAACCCTTTATACACCTTAATTTTTTTCATTTATCTGCTGGTGAGTGTACCCCTAAACATACCCAGTAGAGTAACAGTAGACAAAGCCAATGATGATGAGGATATGCAGCAGGAATGCAACCTGATAAGGGACAACTGTTACCAAGCTGACATTTTACATACACTCAAACACACACTGTAGGGCAGGGGTTTCTCAGCAAGAATGTGGAGATATTTTGTTCCATTCACTACTGCCATTTAGTTTACATATTTCTGAAATCAGTCAGTGTTTGGCTTGGATAAAAAAAAAAAAACTTCCTCCACTGGATATAAACAACTTCTGCATAGAGCATAGCATAGTAATGGAAGAACTGTGGTGTCATAAGGTATAATCCTTTTAGCTTTACAAAATACTGTTATCCAATCCATATTACATGTTCACATAACCTGTTAAATAAAAAGTAACAAAATTTGATGCTGAAGTTCTTGTTTTAGTCAAGTTTGATGAAATGCATAACACATGTTGATGCACTGAATATCAAGTTGTATATTTAAGCTGCAGTTTTGCAAACATTTTCCATGTTGTGATTCATATTAATTTCAGCAAAATATTAACATGGGGATACTCATTTCAACACAACACAATACAATATCAACTTAAACTAAGTGACAGGTCACTTTGCTTCTGACAACAAAGTACTTTACTGACAGAAGTACACATTTTACGAGACAGTTAAAAACAACATGCTTTATTGACAACTTTCTTAAAGAAAACAATGTCTGGTATGCTTCTGTGACAAAACATAATATTCTGTAAATACCTGTTTTTTATTGCCGGCTAAAATAATACTGTTTTGATAAGAATGATCTGCATGACTAGAAACAGTTGACCACTCATTTGACAAATAAAAACGTACCAAATGTACCATATTATCAAACTAAATACTGAAGAGATGTCACATTTTCTTTCTCCGGACAGACGATGTCAGATCGACAACGATCAACTGGGAAAAGCTTTCATGGCATCTCGCTGTTGCAACAGTCAGAAACACTTTATATGGGATATTTCATTGCACCAACACACGTCTAACTTGCTTATTTACGTAGATGAACAACATGACACATGTAACAGCTCCTACAGTGACTGTTTAACAGTCACAATGAAGCTCGTTTTATTTGCCACTCATCTGCATTTCAATCTGGGACTGAAATCGTAGTAACTTTCCCTTCCTTATCTGCCTCTTAAAGTAAACTTCCTGCACGGCACCACAGTTTATGACTGACTTTCTGTTTACATAAATATGAGAACTTAAACACAAGTTTGTCAACTTAAGGAAAAGGCAATTATTTCCCTGTAGTTAGATGGTGACAGGACAGAGAAGTTTGATGCGGGGGGAAATAATCCAGCCTTATTTCAACACATGGCAAAGGCTTTATCATAGTGACAATTGGCAGAACCAGACAGCATTATGCTTTTGCCGTTTAGAACAGAAAGCATGGCAAATACTGACATAAGTACAGGAAGCCACCTGCTGCTCACTGTGACTGGGAGAGGACGACTGGTACCTGAGCTCTACCTTCTGTCACTCTTTAGCAGAAAAAGGGGCTGCATTTAGCAAATAGAGTTATTTAGTGTTTATAATTACATATATGAGTAACAGTAAAAGCACTGCTGCATTCACCCCCCCCCCCATGGGTTAAAAGGCTCAAGTGTTCTGAACAAACTGATCCTTACAGCTGGGTTTGCTCAGTTTTCATATACTTGTGACCACATCCAGCTGTGATGTAACATTGGATGAAGGAACATTGAGAAATGCTGCACAGCTACCCCTAGATGGCAGCGCAAGCAGTGCCTCTCACTTTTCGCTGTGATAGTTCTATGGTACTTTACATACCAATCTTGCCCTGCAGTTGCTACTCCATAAAAAGCAACGGACTAAAACCTCAAACAGTGTAAACGGACAATAAAAAGACTCCTGGCTGGGATGTAGACGTTCATTTTAAAAAAAGTCTGGTATGCAAGTGAACTTCATGTAAACTCAGTAGCTGTATGCAGCACTGCCTGATAAAGAAACCCTACAACAGAAAAAGTGGTAAATCAGTGCAGTTTGTGGAGTTGGCAAATCATCGTCACCTGGTTAATAGAAAACAGTCCACATGCCAGTCAGTTTCTCTTTGTGTACAGCAGTTTACACACCGCAAAACTAAAGTCAACCAAATGCGTAACGCAGTAGCATCCTTAAAAATGATCCTAAATGCTTCTTTTGTACTAGTCACGATTATAAATGCCATTACCTGTTTTCTCAGATATACATTTTTCTTTCTTTCTTCTAAAACTGAATCTATTCTTATTCCTATAGGTACAGTATTTTACAACTGTAACAACAGTGATTCTGCTGGTGCTGAGCACAAAAAAAAGCATGCTGCTCTGTCCAATTCTCAGTGTGAATACAAAATGTGGATCCGAACTTTTCTCACTGTCGCTCAGTTAAGGTGAATCATAATTTCTTAACTTCTAATAATAATAAAACCAAATGAAAATATTTAGCATTGTATTGTAAAAGAGGCAATATGTTTAAACCCCCACAAAACACACACACTCATCCGCACCCACACACACACACAATAATGACCAAGCCACACTTTCTCTCTGCTCTCACTGTGATTGTTAGAGAGCTACACATTCGCAAATCTCAGTGAAAATAATGTGGATTACTTTTTTTCCTCCTAAAACATCCTTGGCACTGTCACACTAGCTGACAAAAAACATGCAGATTTTAACAGACTGTTCCATTCACAATTGACAACGTAAGAGGCCACATCCTACTGCATAACTTAATCCTCTGTGTGCTGAAGGTTCACCGTTACCGTCCCTCCTCATTGTGCCAAAGGGTGCAGGTTAGTGAGCCAAGTCTACAGCAGCAGTTCAAAGCCACGCCCACTGGTGATTTGCCCATGAGTGACGAGTTTTAGGGTACCCATCATTTCCATATTGCAATTACAAGGACTGTCTGTCCTGTTGATTCCCCCTCCTGCTTTTCTCTTTGATCTGGTGTTCCACGTCACTCCCCAGCCAGCCAAGGCATCTTTATGCAGTTATGCATTCAAGTTATCTTGACGACAAGCTGCAGACAGGCTTATTGAGAAGTAGTCTCTTTTTGGCTCATTTGTATAAAAATCCTCATTCAAAAAAAGAAAATTTGGGAGAAACACAAACTACATCCGCTGCTTGACGCCGGGACAAACACTATGTCATGTTGCGCTTATTCCCCGTCACAATCGGGCGAGCAAACTCCACAAAGTCATCTATAAGGACAGGCCACGCCCCTGAGGAGGAAGGAAAACACTGACTATTAGTTACAAATTTCAGCGTAATCTATTACAATGACTTTGTTAATCAAAGCAGTGATCCAATGATGGGGAACATTTACAGGTGCCCCCTGCTGGCCTAAAATGTAGCCAGACTGGATTCTAACCTACTGTGTGCCATACAAACTGAACAGCATCCTACAGAAAGTATTGGAAGATGAGGAAGGACCTTAATTTTTAGAACTATTACTGTTGTCAGATTTAATGCAACAGCTTGAGTGAAGACTTTTCAAGCAAAATTCAACTTTAAGTGAATGTCACTTTGAAAGTGTCAAATGCTGGGTTGTAAGACCTCGATCTGACATTTGCTGGAGTCCGAGTTAATCACGGTGTGTCTGACTGAATTATCAGCACACAACCGTATCGTGTGTACTGTGTACACGTATGGACTGTGTCATCAATAGCCTTTATCCTGAAGAGGCTTTAATAATCTCACCTTCCTCATCATAGTTTGACATGTCGTCTGCAATCATATTGCCAAAGTCCAGAAGGAGGTTCCATGTGTCCTTGGGAATTGAGCGCTTGTGATGCTCCTGAATGCAACACAGTAACAGGAAAAGAGTGGGAGTTAAACCTTATGGTGTGCTTACAATATTAGACGGTCCCTGTGCATTGAAAAATATTTAATAATCTCAACAATAAATGCTAGCTTTGTGAAACTTGTTGACAATGAGTCAAAAACTTATTGAATGTACTTGTGGTTTTGTTCTATTTGACCGTATTCTACAGTATGTTTTTTCTAATAGTTTTGCTTCTCTAGTATGTAAACGAGATGGACAAAATAAAAATCTAGAATATTTAAAATCTCTGGAAATCTATTCATATATTTCTGTAATATCCCACTGACACATAATATAAAAAGGGTGAAAACAGGTGTAACAGCAGTGTCCTCTCTCACCAGCAGGAAGCGGTTCCACAGGTCCAAAAACTTGAAGCGACCTGTGAGAACTAGATTCCAGTAAGCAACAGCCATCTCTAGATCTAGGACACAACGGAGAGTAAGATGGTTCAATATTCTTTTATTACATTTATTTATTTGAATAAATCCAAGTTAAAACCGATCTGCAACTTTAAAAACAAGCTTTACCTTTTTCCACACATTCTTACGTTCTAAATGTTTTGTGCTTATGCTTACCTAAACCTTTCTGTCCGGGGTTCTTGGCAAAATTGAAGGTAAACTGGTAGAAGTCCTTGAACTTCCCTGTGTCTTTCAGCTCCTGCTCTAGCCTGGGAAGGATTGCCTTGAGTTTTTCAGGACTGTCACAGCTAGAAGAGCATAAAAACAAACAGATCAGCCTTCCAACATCCTGTTATTATGAGTAGTGAACCGCACACAGTATGTACGTTTCGTATGTGACACAAATGTTGTAGTCCTATAATTCTTGTAGGACTCACCTTTAACAGAACATACAAAAAAAGAACAACTTTTCATTATTTAAAAATAACACCGTCATTAATGTGCCAAGACTGCAGTTTCATCTCTGATCAAATGTTGCAGGTTTCCGTGTCAGTGTTGCTCACCCTAGCTCGGCCATGCCATCCAGGAACTCTTTCCTGCTGAACTCGCACTGCGTGGCTGCCCTGAACTTCCACGCCACCACAAGTATGCTCATGCTAGCTGGGTCCAGGGTCAGGTCATCGCAGAACTGCTGGATCCCATCAATGCCAATCTTATTCTCATCCTGGGGATCTGCGAAGACAGGCGAGAAGAGTGAGCAAAACAGTGCCAGCAGACGATAAAAAGCAGAGTGTACGGATGTCACCGAGAGTTTGGAAGTCACTCTCTGACACTTGCCTTTGTATCTGCTGTAGAGCTGTTCCAGCTTCTTGCGGTCCACTGAGGTTTTCATGGATTCTTTGTAGTACAGGTCTGGATTCTGGAAGTAGTTGTCTGTGGCAACTTCTAGTTTCCAGTCATTCTGCGTCAGGCAGTACACGGCTGTCCTCTCCCCGGCCTGCGTGAAGGACATGAACTGCCGAACCTTGTCCTTCTGCGATGACTTCAACTTGTGCTGTAAACAAAGCAGGCACACAGGTAAACGCAGGGCTGGATTAACCTCTCAGGGCTATACTGGTATGACACTTGCTATACGAACAACCTGGGGCGTTCAGGACCCCCGACAGTCTGGGCTTTATCTAGCCTTGGGTAACTGGGATGAGCGCACACACACACACACACACACACACACACAACCACACACACACAACACAACACACACACACACCACACACAACTCACAGCCTGAACTTTATGAACATTTAATTAGACTGCACAATTTGATTTCATTTAAAAACATCCGTCTAGAAACTTTTTCTGTCCCTCAATCTGTACATAAAAAAAAACTTTGATGTGATTATACTTAACACGTGCATAACAACTGTGCACCTGCATAACAATTAAAAAAAAAAAAAAAAAAAAAAAAAGTAACACTCAAACCACGCGTGCAACAGCCTATGTATTAGTATAAGTGAGGGGAAACACCGACACTTCCAAACGCACCACCACACTGTTCCGTTAGTTCAGAAAAAGACCTCCTAGGGTTAATGTAATCTACACGGTCATCGGGAGGACTGCAGACCTAACCCACCCGATGATCAAACAGCAAATTCACGGTGACAGGCCAGTGTTTGGCGACCCACATTTCCTAGGGAGGGGACGTTTGATCCTGCAGGCGCTCTCCTGACCCGGGGCAGCAGCATAGGCGAGTTACCAAAAAGGGAAAGGTACGTGCCGCAAGTGCGGGTGTCCGATCTCAAAATACCAACAACTGACCTTCCATTTCCCTCATATTCCCGACACACATCACCCTGACAATGCGACACTTGGGTTGAGGACACCCCGATCCCACATATCGGTGTGTCCCCTGAACGTCAATGACGGCCGGTACCGGGTTTTGGACTTGTTTTAACGGCGCTAAAGAATTGCCCCGGTTTCTCATCTTTAATCTTACCTACCATTTTATCACACGCTGTTTTGGCCCGCTTGATATCCAATTACCCCTGGTGCGCATGCGTGAAAAGAACTGCGCTACTGTAAGGGCAGTGGGTTGATGGGAAATGTAGTTCTGTGGCACTTGTGATCTTACAGGCCCTGTGTTTTTAATACCTTTTCTGCTTCAATAGATACAGAAATAATGTGCTCATTTGTCTAAAAGTGCTTCTACTGAAACATACTTAAAGGTAAAGTTCACATTATAACTTTGTATCAAACTGTGTGTGTTGCCACCACAAACATATCACAGGTTTACAGTCGATGAAACTCCGCGTTGAACTTCTTTTAAGCCGACTTGTTTGTTTCCTTACACGACATTTACTTATAAAAGTGAATTTAACACACGAACCAGCTGTCCCAACTCGACTGCACTTGACACGGTCGAGCTACGAAACACAACACCTGAAAAACTACAACTCCCATATCAAAGCTGATAACGATGTTTCGGAAGTAATCTTAAAAAAAAAATGGATCAAAGTTACATTGACGCGATTAAATCGAGAAAACAACGCAGTAGTTGTTCAAATGTAGCTTTAGTGAACGTCAGCCTCGTTTTGAGACATGTCTCTATGGGAGCTATGTGCAGAAAAGTTACTGGTATTAATGTACACGATGTTTTTTTGTTAGCAGAGTTGTGTCACGGGAGTGTGTGTGAGGACTGGCTGGAGCTGGTCTGACAGCTCTGAGCAATGTGAGGGCTAAACTTAGCTTTGCTTACAGAAGAGAGGAGGGGAAAAAGGGGGAAAAAAAGAAACTTTATACACACTAAAAACAACAACAAGTGGCATAACTTCCTGTGTGGATTCATTAACAGCGGCGTTGCCTACCTGGACGGAGTAGCGTTAGCATCCCCTTGTTAGCACCAGTAATGCTGGTGAGGAGGAGGTCGAGGTAAACATGAAAGTTGGTCGCCAAGTAAAATCGGTGAACGCCTGCATCGACGCTGGCTTCAGCTATGTGGCAGGGGAGGAGGGGTGTCGGTGGTGGTGGTGCGGTACAACAGCATGATTGTTCCCTTCTTCAGCTTCTCCTTCAGTCGCGGAGTGGAGTTGAGAGCCAGGACAGTGCGCAGATTTCACAGGTAGTTGAAGTCTTTTTCTTTTATGTTGCTCAGTGAGAATTAAAGAGGGATTGTGTGTGTGTGTGTGTTTGGGACATTAAACTAATTCATAGTTTCATGGTGTTTACTGGTGTGTCTGATGATTCATGTCTGTATGTCTGTGTGTGTGTGTGTGTGTGTTCAGCTTTGTATGATGCTACTCTTGGCTGTAATGTTGTTTGATTTATTTCTTCATTGTAGGGATGGCAGAATTTGTTCCAGCTGTTTGTATTTGTACTTCATGTGTGCATGCATCCATGCAACCAGTCCAAATGTAACTGCACATCAGTGGTGGTATTTAATTAATGAAGTTTGGAGTTGCTTGTACGTTTTAAACTGGTTACTTTTCAAGTTATAACCAATGTTATAATCATGACACATTGTTATAGATGAATCCAACCCAACAGTGTATGAATGCTACTGTGCTGTTGATTTCTAGCAGCAGATTGGCTGCCAGTCATAGGAGGAAGGACAGAGGAAGAGTTCGGAGAGTAAACATCCCTCAGCTTGACTCATGCTCACAAAGGTGCGGTCCAGCTTTGGGTGTGAATGCATTCAGTCATTATGCTGGGGTTATAAAGTATTAATGTGCAAGCAAGCGCACGGTGTCTGGGTAGGAGAGGGCATGTCGTCGACAGTGAAGCGGTTTCTCAATAGGCTCTGTCTGTATTCCACACATAGATGGAAATACAGCATTAGCAGCATTCGGTGTGGGAAGGATAGCTGCTGGAATTTATACAGGTGACCTGCTCAGTCAAGTCAAGTAACACGACATGACAAGGTGCTATTAGCTACTAAAAGCTGTCAGTAGGACAGGCCACAGGTGTGTACACACAGCTGCTGCTTAAGCTTTTCAGCTAAAGATTAAATTTGTCTCTTGAGATGACTTTAGTAAGAAGCACAGAGTGCACAGAGTAGCCCACTTTAAAAGGGATTATCTATTAAATATTTTAGGATAAATACTGCCTCACTATCTGTGCTTTAGAGGGGATGACTGGCAATTCCTTTATTTCTATAATTTTGTTATTATCAACAAATCCCATGAAAAGACATAAACAATGTGTAAGTCCATCTCTCAATACTTTCGCACTTCCCCAGCACCAAGCCCACATTTTCCTACTGAGGACACAGACCTTTTAAAAAACAAGTCACAGTCTATACTTTGTGTTTTAAAAGAGAGGCTAAATAAATTCCTAAACCAGCTGGGCACTTTTCTTTTGCATTTATAGTAACTAGGGATTTTTTAGGGCATCATGAATCTGTATCGGCTCACACAGTGCAACAGTGTGGCTCACTGATGTTTTTAATTGTTTTTGCACAACAGTGGAGGCGTATGGCACAGAGGAATAAGACATATCAGTCTTTGAATACACAGACATTTCTTTTCATGGGATTTGCTGACAATCAGAAGAGCATAAAATATTGATGTCGACACCAAACGTTTTGGTATATCGTAGTATTCTCCTCCTCATTGTTCGTTTTCTGTTGATCTTTGTAACAACCATGCCCTTCCTGCAGTCACTGTTCTGTCTCTTTCTCTCTCCATTCCCAGGTCTCTTTCTCTTTATCAGTCTCCACCCTCGGGTGAAGAAAGAAGTAGAGGTTTGGATGCAGGTTGTATGTTGGCTGCTGTGCCTTGGCACGGCAGGGGCACTCGCTGTGCTGCAGAAGGACCAGGTGGCCCAGCATGCCATCAAGCTTTATCGGAGCAAGGGGGCCACACACGGTCATGGCTGGGTGGCCAGCAACTGCAAGCGGCTGGTGGGTCTCCTGCGTCAGAAGAATGTGGTTGTCAAGAAGCTGGCAGCCGCTGCTGATGCTGTTGGACGAGACCGTGCCCTTTCGGAGCCCGAGAGGCACTTCCAGGTACCAGACTGAGAATAAAAACCAGATGGAGCAATGGCCCTCTATATTGAACAAAATGTGGGGATTTGCTGTCACTGTTGTTTATATATATATATATTTAAAGTATATTGTTTAAGCCTATCACCTGGTACAGTACATAATGTGCAAGATATATCGTCTGCAACTCTTCAGGGTTGTGTCTTTGTGTGTTGACACATTCCTGCTTGTACAGTATTTTACAGTCATATTTCATACTTAAGAGGAGATGACCTGATTAGATTAGAGCAACTAACAATTATTTTTGTTATGCTTTAGTCAGTCAGTTATTTTTTTAGTTAGATTAGGTTCGATAATCTAACAAATGTGAAAAATGCTATTACAATTTTCCAGAGCCTGTCTTTTAATGTCTTGAAATTGCTTGTTTTGTCCGCCAGCAGCTCAAAATCAAAAAGATTTACACAAGATACAAAACATAAAAAAGAGAAAATCCCCGTTCATTAGAGGAGCTGGAACAAGAGAATATTTGTCTTTTTTGCTTTATTAGTGATTAATGCAAATGGATTATTAACATTGTCAAGTAATTATATAATTGCCAGACATTAGGCAGGTTAAATATCTTCTTGTTTAATCACTATAAAACATTCAAGTGGATTATTTTTCTCAGGGTAATGAGAATCTCTCCGTTTTGACCTTTGTTATCTGGATATGCATTGTCCTATTTGTCACGTCTAATCCCTGAGGAAGACATGTCAACTGCTCTTGTCTAGTGTTTCAAAATGAAGACCATACAAATGAGCTTCAGTAAAAGAGGATGTCAGGTATTGTTTAATGTCTGACTGCTGTCTCCCTGTCTGCTTTCAGGTTCACACTCTGGAGGTTTTCCAGAAGGAGCTGAATGAGAGTGAACACCTGGTGTTCCAGGCGGTGCACAGCCTGCAGAGGGCGCTGCAGGGAGACTACAGGGATGTGGTCAACATGAAGGAGAGCAGCAGACAGAGGCTGGAGGCCCTCAGGGAGGCGGCAATAAAGGTGAGCCGTGGTCAGCAGTGTTTAATGGAGACTACGTCAGAGTGCAGGAGAGCGGGCTGAGAGAGTTCAGTCAGTCTAAGGGAACCAAGATTGGTGTTTCTGATACGAAGGAGAGTAATATGTCTGGAAAATGTTTTCATGTTGTACATAGAAACTTGTACAATCTTTTGAACATTTTTAAACTTGAAGTGAATAGGGCTGCATCTAATAGCTATTTTAATGATGAATAAATAAATTAAAGGTGTAGTTGCAGTGCAAAACTCCCTCACATCCCCCTCCCCTTCCAAGCACAGACCGCTGAAGTTTGGTATTGTTTGATTTTTGGGCCCATTTGTCATATTATAACATATGACAAAATCAGACAAATATGATATTGATTTCCATCATATCACCCACCCATGTGTAATATTATTTATAATTTCTTATTCTTGATGTTCTGTCGGTGTATTTAATCTATGTAGGCTTTCCTGGGTGTGTCAACTGCCACATACATCCCTGTTAACATGTGTGTATAACCTACTTACTAACACATCCTGTTGGGTTTTGTTCTCACCCTTCAGGAAGAACAGGAGTATGTGGAGCTGGTGGCTGCTGAGAAGCACCAACAGGAAGCTGTTAAGAGTGCTTTAGCCCAAAATAAGACTCTGTCCATGCTGGATGAGATCCTGGAGGACGTCAGGAAGGCAGCAGACCGGCTAGAGGAGGAGATCGAGGAGCACGCCTTTGACAACAACAAACAGGTAGCAAGTTGCACGATCAAGTGGTTGCAAGTCCGCCTGTTCAACAAAGCATCGAATTGTGCCTCACTTCCATATTCGCTGTTGTGTAGATGAAAGGAGTAAATGTAGAGGCAGTGTTGAGGGTGGAGGATGACGAGGAGAATGGAGGGAAGAGGAAGAACAAGTCCCACCAAAAGGAAGTGGAGGATGACCTGGGACTGAGCATGCTCATTGACTCGCAGAACAACCAGTATGTCCTGACCAAACCACGAGACTCCACAATGCCCAGAGCAGACCATCACTTCATCAAGGTCAGTTTATTCCTCCCGCTCAGGTATGAGTGACTTCACTGAGTGAACTGCCAGGTTATTGCGCCTCATGGCAGGAAATTCATAAACACATTATTTTAAAACTTGTAGAGGAAAGTAAAAAAGCAGTCACAAGGAAATAAGTAAAATCAGAGCCACCCACCGTTAGTGAATGGATACAGATATACATGTACTATATTATGGACAAAAGAAGGTTATCTTTTCTGGATTTGGACCAAGTACACTAAGTACATTAAACCAATAAGATCAGACTTTAATTAACTTGAGTGGAAATCATTCAACTCATTTGTTTTGAATCCTTAATAATGATTAAAGTAGGGCAGTATCCAGTGTTTGATACAATTAAATTTTACCCTGCAGGACTTGGTGTCGGTGGTGATGTTGTCCCTGCCCTGTGGTTGGATTTGCACTCTGGTTGGTCTTCCTCCTATGTTTGGATATATCATCTGTGGTGTCCTCCTCGGTCCCTCTGGCCTCAACAGCATCAAGGTGTGTGTGTGTATATCTGTGTGTCAGATCAGACTTAAAGAAAACCTAGTCTCAATTTACTTTTCATGCTACTTGTTTATGTCCCTCTGTCCTGCAGTCTATGGTCCAGGTGGAGACTCTGGGGGAGTTGGGTGTGTTCTTTACTCTCTTTGTGGTAGGACTGGAGTTCTCACCTGAGCGCCTTCGAAAGGTAAACAAGACAGATTTAAATCAGAAATGTACAGTAATGTAATGTAATGTAATTTTCATCAACGTTTGTTTTGCAAGCAGTAAGACTATACGTAATACAGGAAACTTGCACTGATGTTAGGTTTTGTAAGCAAGTTGAAATGACCTCAGACTTGAGTTAGACTCAAGATATGTGACGTTTCAGTGTTAACTAACTGTATAAATGTCTTTTTTGTTTTCTGAGTAATGCTCAACTAAATACCTATAATTCCCTCAATGCTGCTCAACTCGTAATTATTAGCTGATACATTAATGACTAAATAAACACCAGCTGTTTGGTAGATTTATACTAAATTAAATTAAAATGTTCAATAGATTTTCCAATTTAAATTTCAACTTTGTGCGGTTAATTAGATTGTTTGGCATTTCAACTTGCATGAAGGACTTAATTTTTATTCTTGCTATCTATCATAATTTTTATTCTTGCTATCTATCACTGCTTCATCACTTGCTATCATCAGTAGTTGCTCTCTGCTAACTTTTTCTGATGTTACTTTACCTGGAAAATGGGCAATATCTGTATTTTTCTAACTAAACGTTATCTGAAAAACCTTTTTTTTTTTTATGTTTTGGTAAATCGTTCCATATAGCAGGTTGATAACAATGTATACCTACTGTGTGTGTGTGTGTGTAGGTATGGAAGACATCCGTCCAGGGGTCGTGCTACCTGAGTCTGCTGATGGTGGGGGCTGGTTTGTTGTGGGGACAAGTCCTGCATATTCGACCCACCCAAACTGTCTTCATCTCCACTTGTCTCTCCCTTTCCAGCACTCCACTAGTGTCCCGTTTTCTAGCAGGGGGGAGTAGAGGGGACAAAGAAGGTAGGTATGTACGTCTGTGCACATATATGAACAAAGATGTGCGCCATAGTGACAAACAGTCTTTATTCTGACATGGGGCTATTGAACACAGCTTTGTCAGCTTGTTACTTTCAATTAGTATGCAGCTGTGATTATCCAACAAGCCTAAATACAGAAGAAGAAGTGTTTTGTTTTAGTACATGAATTAAAAGTACCGTAGACAATGGTCAATAATGTGAGTGTGTGTGTGTGTGTGTGAGATAGGTGATCTGGATTACAGCAGCGTTCTCCTCGGGATGTTAGTAATGCAAGATGTTCAGCTCGGTCTCTTCATCGCCGTCATGCCGACTCTGATCCAGGCACAGAGCGGAGACTTGGGCAGGTCAGTTAGTCTTTTTCTTTTGTCCTCTTCCAACCAAACACACGCAGCATATTTTTAAATCTGTTGTTCCCTTTGTGAAACACAGCTTCCTGTTTGGAAGTCTCCGCGTGTTATACCTCCTGGCCCAGGTCCTGGTCTCTCTGGCTGCTGTGCTGCTGCTGTGTTTGTTACTGAAATCATTCCTGATTGGCCCGTATTACAAGAAACTGCATGCTGAGAGCAAAGGCAACAAGGAGATCCTGGTGCTGGGAATGGCAGCCTTCGTCTTTTTCATGTTGACGGTACACACGTCGCTTTTAATCGTTTATTCTTAGAAGAAGAGCTGTCTTTTTTTGTTCAGTGCTTTCTCGCACAAATGTATTATTTAAACTCCTCTGAAGAAGCTGTGGATTTTTCTCTTTCTGACTGCAGGTGACAGAGTTTTTCGATGTTTCCATGGAGCTGGGCTGTTTCCTGGCTGGAGCTTTGCTGTCCACGCAGGGTCACATGGTTACCGGGGAGGTCATGGGATGCATCGAGCCAATCAGAGATTTCCTCGCCATCATCTTCTTCGCCTCTATCGGTCAGATCCAACACAGATCTCAGCTTTATTATCACGTTGCACCCTTGTTCTTAACTGATCTTGTGTGTTTGTGTGGTGCTGCAGGTCTCCACGTGTTCCCCACATTCGTGCTCTATGAACTCACCATTCTGCTGGTGCTCACGCTCACGCTCGTCATTATGAAGGTACAGCACTTTTCTCATATTTGTTTTTTTTTTTTCCTTCTCCAGTTTACCTTTGCCACATGCTCACTCCCTCCGCTCTCCACTTTAATCCTCCCTTTTCTCCCAGTTCATGATGGCTGTACTGGTGCTGTCGGCGATCCTGCCTCCAGGTTCCCGACACATACGGTGGGTTGTCTCAGCTGGTCTGGCTCAGGTCAGCGAGTTCTCCTTCGTCTTGAGCAGCCGTGCCCGTCGTGCTGGCATCATCTCTAGAGAGGTCAGTGATGAAAATATGTGTGTGTGTTATTCTGGTCCACTTTATGTCTTTTTCATTTGCTTTTTTTATTGTTGCTCCCTTGTGTGAAGCACTTTGTACCACCTCACCTGGTAGAGCTGGCGCCCCATGTACAAAGGCTAAATCCTTGCTGCAGTGGC